ATTTTTGTCTATATTACAGATGTATCTATATTTATTTATCTATATACTTGTGGTTGGTGTGATGCTAAACATTGTGACACTGATGTGTCAAATGTGATAGTACTTGCCTTTGCTGGACAGTGTTGGGTGGAACTCCCCTAGTAAAACAGGCTTGGAAGCAGGAGTGACATCCACTTCGGAAATCGCTTGCCTCTGGAAACTCTGTGAACTTAGAGAAACAATGAAAGTTATACAAGTGTTCAAGTCTTTCGTTCATAGGGTCTCTGTGAGTCATCTATGACTTGACAGCACTTAACACAACATATATGGACTATAATTCTGTCTGTAACAGAGCACTGCATTGCTGTACAGAGGTAACTCGTGGTTACTGTGATGCTGAACACTGTGACACTGATGTGTCAAATGTGATAATGGTTACCCATAGTGGACAGTGCTTAGTGGAGCTCTCCAATTAAAACAAGCTTGGAAGCAGGAGTGGCATCCACTTCCAAAATGACTTGTCTCCGGAAACTCTATGAACTTGGAAACATGATGAAAGTTATACAAGTGTTCAGATCTTTTGTTCATAGGGTCGCTGTGAGTGTCTATGTCTTGATGGCACTTAACAACAACAACAACAGCAACAACAACAACAATATAACAGAGCCAGCCCACTATACCAACACCAGTGCGTATTAGATGCTGAGAGAGAAGAGAGAAGAGAGAGATTGCTGCAGACCACAGGAGATGAGACTTTTTTAATGAGACATGTTCTCTGGTTCTCCTTCCTTCTTGTGCTTTTTTTGTGTTGTTGTTGTTATGTGCCATTGAGTCACTTGCGACTTGTAGTGACATCCCTAAACCCTGCTCTGTCCTGTGCCAATTGCACCATCTCCGACACATCCATCCAATTACCCCAGTCACTGAATCAATCCACCTCATAGAGGGCCTTCCCCTTCTGCGCTGTTCCTCCACCCTCCCAAGCATGATGTCCCTCTCCAAGGACCTGTCCCTCCTCGCAACATGTCCAAAGTATGTTAGACAGAACCTTAAAATCTTTGCCTCCAAGGAGCAGCCCGGTTTGACCCTTTCAAGGGTGAATCTGTTTGTTTTCCTAGCAGTTCATGGTACCCTCAATACTCTTCTCCAGCACCACAGCTCAAAGGCATCAGACCTGATGAGTTGTGAGAGGATATCAAGGGTATCATCCAGGAAGAGTGCAGACAGTCATTGCAAAGACCAAAGAGGAGGAGAAGACCAAAATGGATGTCAGAAGAGACTCTGAAAATTGCACTGGAGCGCAGAGAAGCCAAAGAAGAGGGAAGAATTCAAGGTACTAAAGAGTTGAATAGAAGATTTCAAAAGGCAGCACGGGATGACAAAGTAAAATATTACAATGAATGTTTAAGGAGTTGGAGTCAGAAAATCAAAAGGGCCGGACTCGCTCAGCGTTTCTTAAGCTCAAGGAACTGAAGAACAAATTCAAACCTCAAATTGCTATAATCA